GTGAAAGAGTTTCCTAGAAAGTGAAATAAGTCTGAAAAGGTAGGTGGAGGCCAGAAGCATAGGTCTTTTTAGTCCTTTGGACCTTGTGCAGGCCTCTCATTTTAAAACCAATCTAGCCTAAGTGGCATCTAGATAGTGTCCTCCAGACCCTTCTCCCCACTTGTAAAGGCAAGTGCTGGTCTGCACCTGTTTGCCTGTCTTTACAACCGTGGGGGCTCACGGGACAGCAGTTTCTGGCCCCTCATCAAGCATCTGCCAGAGCGTGTCTGAGGCAAGAAATGTAGGCAGACATGTCTCCTCACCTTCCGCAATTCCCAGATCGTCTCCACTCTCTGCCTCTCCCTTTTGGAGAAGGAGGTTAGAGCCAGGAGAACATCTCCCCTTCTGGAATCCAGTCACTTGGTCATCGAGACTGATGTATGAGAATTGCTTTCGGGAGAGGCAGTCCTCCCCCAGAGGTTCTGAGTCACCAGATCTAGAAAACCAGTATTTATAAAAAGCCTTGGCAAGATTCTTACATATAACCAGCACTGTGATTGTGTTTTAGGTATCCAGTGAGAAAGAAGTGGGGTTCTTATGCCATCTTCCCCTTTGGTGTGAAGCAAAGGGGAGAAAACTTTTCCCAGAAAGATTAAAGGAGCTTTCCTTAGTCATGTAATAGTTAATTTTAAGTGTAACAGCTTTCTTTGTTCCAAAACACCATTGTTCTTTTCCATTTATGAAAGTGCTGTGAATGGAATAACAGTGACAGGGTCTCTTTTTACGTATTTCATTAAACATTGCACTTTTGCCCTAAATACCCAGTAGGAGAGGTGATCCTGTGCCACTAGTACCAACATTTAAGCACATTGCAAAGTCAGTTTTCTTAGTTCTATTTTTTCCCTTAAATTTTTAAATCTTGGAATAATATCTGTTTTGGAAAACAGAGTGTGTAGTGTCAAGTGTGTACATTCCAGAACCCAGTTACCTAGTTCTGAATCCCTCTTCATTCATTATTTCCCAGAAGACTGGGAAAGCCAGGACAACTTGTAGAGCTTCAATGTCTTTATTTGTAAAATAGAGATCATGATAAAAGTGCCTTCCTCACAGGGTTATTACGAGAATTAAGTGAGCTAATACTTCAGAAAACTTACTATGGTACCTAACACAGCAATCCTTCAGTTAATGTTAGTTATGCTTTTAGGAGACAGTAAGACTTTATATTCAAAAATAACCAGCGGCGTCACGGGTGGTCTTCCCTGACCGGAGAGGGAGACAGAACAGGGAGTGGTGTTGACTGAGTAACTACAAGGTGCCAAGCTCTTTGCCAGGCAGTTTAAGGACCTCATCTCATTTTTTTTGCAGCAGATTTGTGAGTTAAGAGTCATTATTTAGAGTTTTACAAACAGAGAAGTTGAGGCCCAGTAAAGTTAAGTA